CAGAGAGAAGCTCAGATGTCAGGGAGAGCGCCTCAGTCTCCCCTGGATGTTGAGTGGGCAGATGGAAACCCGAAGCTGGGAGGAGGAAGCTGCTGTCCTCAGGGAGAACATCTAAAACAAATGTGGTCTGTTCTCCAGCCAGAGAGGAACCACACAGCCTCCTGAAAGCTCAGCATGTTTCTGTGGGCTCCTGAGAACCCCCCTCCCTGGGCCTGGAGGCTGAGAGGGTGTGGGGGGCACCTGGCATGGTGCTAAGGGGCCACTTCCGGGTCCCTTTTGCCTTTGCCTGAGAAGGCAGGATGGGAGAAACTGGCTGAGACACTGGAGCTCCACATGTGTGCTGGAAGGGACCCAGGTTTGTATACTGCCTCTGAGGCTGAGTCCCAGGGACCTAGGGTTCCACAAAGGTGTCCCTGTGTGGCCTGCTGCTTGGTGGCTTGGTGGGCTTCTGCCCAGGGCTAGTAGCAGCCTAGTCTTGGCTTTGGGCCTGCACAAGCTCTCGAGTGGGTGCTGTTCTGTCTTAGTTGCAGAGCCCCAAGGGCCAGAACCGCATCCATCACGTTCATTACCGCATGCCTGGAGCCTGGCCCATGGTAGGTACTTAGTACCTGTGGATCAGTGAGTACAGAACGGGACTGGCCGGGTAGCTGGGGTGGCTGGTTTTTCCAGGACTTTCCTAATCTTGGCACTGAAGTCTCTGGCATCCCAAGAAACTCTGCCACCCGCCCCCAAACCCCAGGTAATCCTAGGCCTGAATGCCACCCCCTCACACCCCCCAAACACACTTCAACCACACCCAGGTAGTTTCAGGCAGTGGCTCTCAGACTCGGGCTTGCATCACAGTGACTGGAAGACCTGGAAAATGGACTGCAGGACACCCCCCTCCCCGGCTCTGAGCTTCCATTCAGCAGGTCTGGGGTGGGGCCCATAATTTGCTTTCCTAACAAGCTCCCAGGGATGCGGATGCCGATTTAAAGGAAGGGTTCTGCCATTGGAATAGCGTGAAAGCCACTGAGTTGCTTGGTCCACTGGGCTGCAAGGCAGATGCCTGGGGGGCTTGTAAAATGTATTGTCACTGGCCCTACCCACAGAGGAGGAGACTGTAGCCCTGGGGCCTCTCTGGGCCTCTCCCTGGGAGCTTGTGGAGACTCCATCACCCCACTGGCCCAGCAAAGGTCTCTGGGGCCCACCATCCCTCTCTCCCAGGAACCAGGGACACTGCAAAGCCACCCCCCATCTTTTTGCAGGGTAAAGCTCCAAAGGCACTGCTCATGTGTCCATCTCTCTTGGGTGTCTCCCTTAACCCCAGGGAAGTAGCAGCGTGGCAGGGGGAGCTAAGACGAGCAGCCACAGGGGGGCTTCCCCACCCATGCATCAGAGCACATCCCAGCGGGGCCCACCTGTGGGGTCTGAGGCCCAGCTGTGCCACCCAGGGGAGGCAGGACACCTGCCCTCCCACACCCCTGCGCCAGGGCTGCCTCCCAGAATGCTGGGGAGACGAGTCCCTCCTCTCCACCTCAGACCCACGGAAGCTGCACACTCCTCCTTCGTTCCCGGGCCATGGCTGCTTGGACTTCGCCCCACCCCAGGCTTCCCCGCCCACACCCATCCTTAGTCCCGCAATTCTGTTCCTTTGGGCCATTCGGCATTTCTAGGCTGTATAAACACTGAGGTCTAAATCTCCCCCATCAGATGGGAAGCTGTGATTCTCCCCTCAAGGCAGTCCCTGAAGGTGGGGCTATGTCTCCTCCATCTGACTGGCACCCCCCTGAGCCCAGGGCCTGGGTGTCTCCATCTCACCTGCCCCTTCATAGAGTCCTAGGCAGGCTGGACTCGGCCAAGCCTCGGGAATGCCCCATGGGTCTGAGCCCCACCGAGAGTCTCCCCTGGCTCTGGGTGCTCAGGGGAGCAGAGGGGGCAGCACCCCACTTGGAAGGAAGCTGATTCTCCCCACCGGAACCTAGAAGAGGGGCTCCACAGATGTGGGGAGGGCACCTGGGAAAAGTCCTGGGTGGAGCATCAAACCCTCCGCCTAGCTTCGGGCCTCAACATGGCAATGGCCTTGGGAGGGAAACAGACCAGAGGGAACAAGGTGCCCGGGCTGGAGATGTCCTCGAAGAACTGGCCACACTCCCCTTCTTCATCCAAACTGCCCCCCGCCCCACACACGCTCCCCCCCCCCCCGCCCCCGGTCTGACAACCTAGTTTTGCCTGATTAGATTCTACCCAGTGCTCTAGCCTGTTGTGGGTTGCAGGCTTAGGAACCGTCCTGGGGAAGCAAGACTATCAGTGGGAAACACCCTCTTCCCCCTTTCTTTCTTTACAAATACGGGGCGCAAAGCAGGTGCTCTAGACACACGCACACACACATGCACACACACATGCACACGCACACACACACAGTCTCCCAGGCCATCCAAGGGAACAGGCTGCCTGAGCACAGGTGGGTGTGACCCCAGCCGAGTAAGGATGGGCAGGAGTAAGATGGGCTTACACAGGGGCCACTACCAGGGGCACCATGTAATGCACCACCCTCGCCTCTACACACCCAGTCCCTGCCTGGCCCCCACCCGGGCCCCTCCAGGCCCTTGGCCTCTGTGCCCCACACTCCAGCTAGCCAAGGAGGTGGGGGGGTGGGGCCTGCGGGCACACCAGAAAGGGGCGGCACAGGAAGCCTGGGCTTCAGCTGCAGCGGTGTCCTCATTGTGTCTCTGGCTCTGTAATTTACCCCTGGCAGGGCCCAGCCCCTAAGCTGCTTCCCGCTCCCGCCCTCCCAACCTGCCAACCAAGCCAGCTGCAGTGAACACACACTCGCACTTGCCGCTGGCCAGGGACAAACGTCCTCAATGATGTGGGTGCGATGCGGTTTTACCCCCACCTGGGCCTAAACAGACAGACGCTCACACTAGACACACAAGCGTGCATATGGGGGGGCCGGGAGCACACACAGACGTGCAGCCAAAACAGAGACACACACAGGGCTGGGGGGGGTGGGAGGGAGGGCGCACGCGCGTACCTGTGCCGCACACCCGGCCCACACGGACACACGCCACACTCCACTCTCCAGGACAGAGGCACACCTCATCCTAGCACCTGTCACCTGGAGACAGGACAGGCAGGAGGGCAGGGCTGTGGGTGCTGGGAGCCCTGGAAGCAATTTCTCAGCAGGAGAGTTTCCAGGCTGGACGGAGAAGGAGAAGCTCAAGTTATGAGGTGGGGATGGGAGGCCCAGGTGTGAGGACTGTGAGTCAGAGGAGAGGAAGGGCCAAAATGGTACCTTCCTTAGGGGCTGCAGGGACAGGGACAGGACTGGAACATCCCCCTTAGGGGACCACCAGCGGCTGATTTCTGGAATCTGCTGCAAGCCCTGGTCCCTCCCTGCCCAAGGCCTGTCCGTGCCCCGGCTCGATGCCAGCCCCGGAGGCAGCCTCCATCGCCCCCAAGCCCCATGTCTCCGTCGCCCACTTGATCCTTGCCTGTAATTCCAGGCTCTCCGGCTGCAGGTTGAGACTGGGGTCCGCCTGCAGGGCCCTCAGTGGATGTGGGGCCAGGGTGCAAAACCATGTGTTTATTTTTATTAGAAATGTTCTTGGTATAAAAACAATCATGCGCTACACATTGTCATCAATAACCATCACCAAACACCCAGGCACTGAACTCCGTGTCATCAGCAGGCGGGCAGGCGGGCGGGACACACAGCAGACGGGAGGGGGCAGGCGGGCAGGCTGCGGGCCGCAGGGACACAAACAGAGGCCACCGGGAGGACGCAGCACTTTGCAACACACTCGAGATCTGTTTTTGTTTTGGCTTTTTTGTGTTTTGAATTTTTTTGAGCTTTTTCTCTTTTGCAACATGTGAAGTTCGGTGAATGGGAGACGGTGGCAGGGAGAGAGCAAAGGCAGGATGTGATGAAGGTGACGAGGGGGGGGAGGACAGGAAAGAAAAATGTGCGAGACCTGGGTGGAGCACAAGGAAGAAACTGGAGACACCTGGAGACAGAGAATGCATCAGGGAGAGGCAGCAGAGGCAGAAAGAAAAAAGGTAGGGGAAGCAGAGCACACAGGTGAAGACACAGAGAAAAGGCAGTGATAAAATAAAGACGGGGATGGAGACAGACTCGGACAGTCACCGATGGCACAGGCAGAGACGACGGGGGAGAGAGAAAACCAGCACTGGGGCTCACACAGCCTGAGCCCCTGTGATTCGGGGCCAGGAGGGGCCATGGTCCAAGATGCAGGCTCCTGGGGTGGCCTGAAGCTTCTTGGCCCCTCGTCCTTCCCCTGCTGTCACCTGCCTGGCTTGCCCAGGCTGCCCAGCGGTGACCGCCGGGGCTCTGCTGTCCTCAGCACCAAGCCACGTCCGTGGGTGCCCACGGGCAGGCAAGACATCAGCTGGGCCCCTGGGAGTGGCCCTGGCCCGACGCGCCAGCCACAAGGGTCTTGGATCCTCCTCTTCTTGTTCGGCTCTGGCGGTCTAGCTAGATTGCATGGTTGGTATAGGTGACGTAGGTCTGTTTGGTGGCCAGTGCTGGAAGGAGAGAGACCGGGGGTACCCAGGCATCAGGGGCTGGCTTCTTCAAACCCCCCTTCTGCTCAGGCACTGCCCTGCCCGTGGCATCAAGTCCAGACCCCTGAACCAGGCAGTTCACAGCCCCCAACCTGCATGGCGGCCCCACCCCACCCATCCCATCCCATCATTTGCCCCCCTTTCCTTCCACCACCCTGCTCCCCGCCAAGTTCCCCCTCCCTGGACTCGCCTAGTCTCTGAACATCCATCCCACCTCCTCATCTCTGCTGGGGCCAGGCTCCCTGCCTGGAGTGTCCTGCCCTCCCCACACTCCTTTTAGTTAGGACCCCTCCTTAGGGCGCTCCCTCCCAACCCCACCGCTCTGGGAGGGTCCGCCAACCCTGCCCCCATGGATGAAGCTCCTGCCACCACCTCCCGACTCCACCACACTTGAAGAGAATCATTTTTATTTGTAATATAATTGTATAGCCTTAAAGTATTATCAGCAGAAGTTTCAGGTCAACAGCACCCGTTCTGGAAGAGCACATGCAAAGAACAGACATCAGACATAGCCTGGCAGCCTAGAGGAAGGGAGTGGCGAACCGGGATGGAGGAAATCAATGATGGAACCAGCGCAGTGGGGGCTCGTGAGGCTAGAAACTGACTAGCTGACCGGTTAGCTGGCTAACTTGGCCCCCGTGCGGCACCCAAGGAAAGTGGAAGGCCTCCAGGCCCCCTGGGGCCTTGGTGTGGCTATCCTTCCCATTTCTAGGCATCCCTGTCTCACCTTAGCCTTGAGTCTTCCTTATCCACACCCATTGCTCTGGCCCTCGCTCAGCCATGCCCTGGACTTGCGTGTCTAGGTATCCCCCATTTCCTGGCCCCAGCCCCCGGGGCCCTCCCAGCCACTAACAGCTGGGTGGCAACATCAGCTCTTCCCAGCAGCACAAGCCTCCCCCTGCCTCTGCTCGGTGGGAGTTCGGACCTCACAGCAGCCTAGTGAGGAGGCCAGGTAAGTGCCACCCTTGTGTGAAAAATGAGGCACTGGGGCCAGAGGGGTGAAGACGCTGGCCAGGTCCCATGGGTTGGGACAGCTCAGTGGAGATAATCAAGGTCAGCCTTGTCGCTTGGGGTGGGAGTTGTATGCTGGTGCCCAGAGGCGGCTGGATGGGAGACAATCATGGGGCCCTTGTTTGCAAAGCTGCCCTGACACCCCATCAGGGTCCTGTCAGCTCGGGAAAGGAGTGTGCAGCCAGGGCATCTGGCCTGGGGCAGAGGACACAGAGGGGAATGGTGTGACGGGCTGCACACGGTACCCCCCCCCCCAATCCTCTCTATCCCGTTTTCACTGGGCCTGTGACTGCCAAGTTAAGACTACATTTCCCAAGCTCCCTGCTCGATGACAGTCCTGCTAATGACATGTGAGTGGAAGCGTTGGGTGTGATTTGCATATCATTTGATTAAAACAGATGGTTTCTCCTGTACTTCCTCTCTTCCGCCATCCATGGGCATAACAGACACTGAGAGCAAACAGCCTCAGCACAGCCCTCTGGAAGCTGATGGAAGAAACCCGGGTCCCCGTTCCTGCCCATCCACTACACCAGCGTAGCTAGAAGCCCACTGACACAGGCCAGATTGCTGGATCCAACGCTCAGGGTCCATCAAGTGTGGCAAGAAGCAAACTTGCTGGAGGTGGGGTGAGCAGAGGGCTACACCATAGGACCAGTGGGGAGGCCCAGGGTGGAGGGCAGGTGAACTAAAGGAAGAACTTTCTCCTGGCCAGAGCTGAGTGGAGAGGGTAGCCTTATGTGGTAGTGGAAATATTCAAGCAGAACATGAACAATCACTTGGCTGAGCAGTTGCCGGGAAGTTTCAAGTTTTAGGTGCCACCCGGACAGGTGTTAAGGGAAGGACACGGAGCCCATGATCTCAGGAAGAGGGTAAGAACACAGCACCTTATATTACACCAAGAGTTGCCACCTTCGTTTGTAAAGTCACCCACGGGCCTCTGTGGTGCCAGCTGAGTATGAGGGAAGAAGGACCATCAACAGCACCCACGAGGCGCCCGGCCAGGAGGCCAGAGGTGCCAATAGGAAGGTGTGGGGGTGCAAGGATCAGCGCTCTAGGGACAGGAGCCTCTAACTCCCTCCCTCTGTGAATTCTGGCAGCTCTATCCCCCACCCTTCTAGGCCTCAGTCTCCCCACCTGTAACATGAGAGCGGTGACCCTTTTGCCCAGACTGCTTTTCCGGAGGGGTTCCCCCAGCCCCCGTCTCCGCCCTGCTCTATCCAGCACTGTCAGTAAATGAGCCGGCAGCTGGCTCTGTAAATCACGAGCCGCAGCCCGGCCGTTGAGAATCAGTTCCCCAGGGCTCCATCACCCCCTGGGTGAACTGATAAAATTGAGTTTCCAAACCTGTAAACCCGTCAGCAGCCATGGCTCAGAGGTGAAGGAAGACTGCGGCAGCAAAACCAACTGTAGGGAAACGCGCGCCTGAGTGCGGCCGCGGGGGCACCGAGGTGGGTGAGAGGAGAGAAGGTGGCAGGGAGGTGAGGAACAGTTGGGCCCTGTTGTCCCTCTAAGACCAGAGCTGTCTCCAATAGAAAATCCAGTCCTTGGGGTCCAGAACCTGGAAGCACATTCAGCCCTCAGCTACAAGCCAGGGGCCCCAGAGTCCTTCAGCGGAGCTTCGGTCTCACCATCTGGAAAATGGGAGCAGTGAGTCTGCCCGGGCCCCCAGGGAGCTAACTTGTGAGGCTCAAAGGGAAGCGCTCTGACCAGCAGTCAGGAGACTTCGGGTCAAGTCCTGCCCTCCCCAGGACAGGGGATCTCAGCACCTGCCAAGCAGCCCTTCCAACAACTTGAACCTCTCTCAGAGCCTCAAGTGCCTCATCTGTAAAATGGGATAACAAACCCTTGGCTGGCTCTTAGCCACAGGGTGGATGCAATCCTCTTTAAACCCTGCAAAGGGACAGGGCTGAAATAACTACAGCAATGAGGACAGGGTGGGGAGAGCAGCACTCCAGGGGCATCCTCAGCATGAAGGGAGGGATGGGGTGAGGGGTATGCTCGAAGGTCCCCAAACCCATGCCTCGCTGATGATAGGTTTTTTTGCTGCTGGTTTTCAGTCCCTGCCACTTCAGATAACAATTAGCTGGGCAGTGGCAAGCATGAGCTGACAGCCCCCATTTGTTGCCCCATGTCTCTGTGCCCAATCTGCCCGCAGTCAGGCCCCTGAATTATTTATTCTGTTGTTTGTTTAAAGATACGTGGCCTGCCAGTGACAGAGTGAAAAATATCCCTGCTCCACAGGAGTGACATCTCCCCACTCTTCCTCTCACACACCCCTCAAAACTAATCACCTGGCTCTGACCCAACACCTCTACAGCCCCTGCTATCACCGACCTAAGGGATAGTGGGGGCGAGGGGCCCTGGCCTCTGGCTCCCATTGCAGCTCTCACGCCTGGGAACACTGCGCGGCCCCTCGCCAAGCCTCCGCTCCCCTCCTTGTCTGCTGGGGGGTGGGGTGGGAGGGGGGTAATTGTACCCTGTCCTCATGTGACCAACCTGAACAGAGGCAGAAGAAACAATGTCTATCGCAGCTGTCGGGGAAGGTCCCGCACTCTGGTTCTCCCTGGCTTTTGGGCTCAGGGTGTTAGCTCTACTTGGCCGCCCAGGGTCCCTGGAGGGTTAATGCCCCACTCTGATGAGCCCACGGCAGAGCCCATTTGACAGACCCGCTTCTGCACCGGCAGAGTAAAGCATGAGGGACGGAACCCGAGAAGGAGGAAAACAAGCCAGGAGTGTGGGTCGGGGAGCAGTGAGGGGTCCCGGCTCAGGACACAAGGGCCTGGCTAGCGGCCGCACTTGTAGTTTCTGCAGATCTAGCAACGGTGGGGAGTCCTGGGGCGACAATGTCCCCTCCCCTCTCAGAGTGGGGTCCTAGGGCCGTAGGCCCTGGGGAAGCTGGTGGTCTGGGAGGAGGAACAAGACTGAAAAGAACCAGAGGTCATTTGGCAAAAGATGGTGGGGGGGCCAACATACAGTCATCAAGATGTCAGTGAAGGGGGTGCCAGAAGCCAGGTATACTGCTCTGCCCAGAGAATGGAGACCCAGAGCTAGGGAGGCCTTGTGAAGTCAGGGTCAAGGGAAAGACACCATGTGGGGCCAGCCAGCCACCACCTTGCTGTGTAACCTCAGGAGAGTCACTCACCCTCTCTGGGCCTCAGCTGTGACTCAAACCTCTAGCCCTACCCAGGCCTCACGGGACAGCAGTGAAGATCACTGAACAGGGGAGAGGGCTTTGGGGGTAAAAAGTCCTGGATGGAAGTAGAGAGGGGCTCTCATTCTTTCCACAGGTGGGTGGCACTCAATACGCACGTCAATAGCATGTAGCTGTGCCACGACAGGCTCTGCTTCCCCCAGAGACACAGGTGGGGAGCCTGTGAGAGGTGCTGCCACCCCCCAAACACACCAGGGAGGCCAGGGCTCCTATTTCCCCTGATCTCTGTGGATGACAAAGGGCCTCCTCTCTGGAGCCTGGGCTCAAGACCCCCCTGCAGTCTAGCCTATATCCCTCCTGCTGCCATCAGCAATGCCCATTTGTGGCCTCTGCCCCAGGACTAGAGGGAACAAGCTGAGACTAACCCCCAGGTCTCCTGGGGGAAGGGGCTCTTCTCCTCCTTCCCCACCAATGGGAGCCCCCCAGGACTCGCAGAGAGCAGGGGAGGCATGAGATGCTACCAATTAAGTGTGGGCACTTGCAGGATGGCCAGGGAGGGAGCCAATGACTCAGTGGGGCACGGCGACCAGAGCAGCCCCTCCGTCTCTCCCCTCACCAGAGCAGCTGGAAGCAAGGCCCACGGAGGCCCACCCCACAGGTGGGAGACCCCAGGGCTCGCCTCCCAGGGCTGAGGCCTCCGTCTCTCTAAGGAGGGAGCCGTGATACCACTGTGGAGGTCAAGTCCAGCCCAGGCACCTGCTGGCTGAGTGACTCGGGTAGGCACCTAACCTTTCTGAGCCTCCCTTTCCTCTTCTATATTACACAGATGATAAAAATGCCTGCCTTTCAAGGTTGTTGTGAAGATGAAAACTGGTACATGGAAGGCGTGACACACAATCAGGGTTTAAGAAATTGTGACTTCTCTTCCAGGTGCCCCCGAGGCCTAACCTGCCCCTTGCATGTTCGGCTCCTCTCTCCTCTCAATCTCTTCTCAGAGGGCTGGCTGCAGGGGGGCCAGGGAAGTCACCAAAGATGGTGGCCTCGCTCCCTCCCATGCACATTCCTGCCTAGGCGGAGACCGTGGGCCTGCCCCTTAGATGCCAGGGTCCCTGTCTCCTTCTCTCTCCCCATCCCCCTCTCTGCTGAGGTCTCCTTGGACAATCCCTTGGAAGCACCCTGCTACCTGAGAACTGAGGCCTTGGAGGCCTTCCATCCAACCCACTCCTTCCCTCACCCAACCTGGGGACCCACATCCTGAGGCCCCATCTCCCAGGGCCCTGGTAGGGGGTGGCCAGGCTGTGCCCTGTGCCCGGGTTATTTAAGGGCCAGAAGGCAAGGGCCTGGCTAGACAACCCCTTGAGCAGAGAAATCCCAGAGCCCCCATCACCCTGCATGAACCAGGCTCCCCGGTGGCCTCACCCTAGGTGGGCAGATATCCCTGGAAGGGTGTAGCCAGGGCTAGGTGGGGTGGGACCTTGAGGGTCTCTCCTGGTTACCAGGATGGGGCGGGGCAGAGGGGCACTAGCCTGGTGCCTCCAGGGTCTCCCAGAGTTCCCACTCACCTGTGGCTTCAAGGCCCTCCCAGTACCCACTGAGGACTTGGCTCAGGGAGGGGTGTGGCCTGGGTCCCAGGGGGTGGGGGGCTGGCCTTGTCCAAGAAGGGGGGGGGGCCCTGAGTGGGCCCAGAGGGAAAGGAGCGGGGCTAGGCACTCACCTGGGGTCTCCAGGTTCTCACAGAGCTCAGACTTGGCCTCACCGTTGGGCCGGAAGCTGCCCTTCTGCGTGAACTTGTTGGACATGGTGGCGGCGGTGACGACGGCTTTGAGGCTGCGCTTGCGCTTGGGCACGTTCTGCTCCGGGTGGAAGAGGATGATGTAGACCTTGGGCATGTAGAGCATCCCCAGGGACACCGAGGCGCTCAGACTCACCGAGACCGTCAGCGTCGTTGTCTGGATATACAGCTGCAGGTGGGCCAAGGGCCGTGTCAGAGAGGGCTCCGCCCGGGGCCTCAGGGACCCCGACCCAGGAGACAGACAGACAGGACAGACCCCCGGGGGGCTCTGCCCTGTGTCCCACTGACTCTGGGCAGAAGGGAGTCGTGGTTTGGAGCCAGGACTTTAGACCAGACCAAATTCTGGCTCTACCACTTCTAGCTATGTGATCTTGGACAAGTCCCACCCTGTGCCTCAGTTTCCTCATGGACAACATGGGCATGATATGATAGCACGTACCTCACAGCATGGCCATAAGGATGAAATGACTTGATAAACGGTGAATGTGTGTAGAACAATGTCTGGCATCTGCCACGTGCATGGAAGGGTTCCCCACTGCGACATGCTATAGGGAGGCAGCACCTGAGGAAGGGCCCTCAGGGGACCAGAGCTGACCCTCCCAGGGGCGGCCCCCTGCACGGGGCTGGGAAGGAGAGGAACATCTGTTGGCGCCTTGCATAACTCCCAGTGGCTGGGCCACAGCCCTTGGACCAAGCCACCATTCAGTGACTGCTCCCCCCTCAGGCCACCCTGTGCAGAACAGGCATTGGGACGGGAGCCACTGCACCTGGCAAGATATGGCGATGGCAGCACGGTCAAAGCTCATTTCACGCTCACTCGCCAGCACTAACAGTGACAGATGTTTAACAAAATGAAAGTCCATTAATCTGGGTGTCGGCTAATCCATTCTTCAATAGTGGGGCCTTCCAGGCAGGGCCTGACAATTCCCACCACCCCGACCTGGGGTCCCCTCCCCACCTCCTCCCTCCTTCCCAGTCCTCCAAGCCTCAGCTGTCCCTCTAGCTGCCCCCGCCCTCAGCCTGGGTGGGGCCAGAGGAGGCCTAGGCTGTGGCCCCCAGGTCTGGGCATGGGTCAGGCAGGAAATGCTCTGCCCTCTAAATCTGCTGTTTCTAGGCCTGGGGCTGATGTGCCACCTCCTCTAGGAAGCTCTCCCTGACCCCCAGCTGTGTCTGACCCCCATGACACCCATTCTCATATCCCACCCCATCTCCTGCCCTTCTCCAGAAATGCCACATGACCAGGTCTAGCTACCCCTTGGGAAAGAGGCTGGAGAAGCTCTAGGGTCTGAAAGGAGAGAGGGGTATGGCCCTGAGGAAGCCTCAACCCCTCTCTGGCCCTCAATTTTCTCATCAATGCAACAGGATGGGAGCATCTACCTCTCCCAACCCACGAGGTCACCAAAACACAGACTGAAGCCGCGTGAACTTGCATAGCAGTGCGGGGAAGGAGGAGGGAAGCGTGGAGAGGCTGTCTCATGGTCACTGTTCAGAAAATGCCACAGGCCTGGGGAAATGAGAGCCTAGTCCCCAGGGAGCACACACCCCTCTGGACACGGTCATCCCCACCCCACCCCTTAAACGCAAGCCACACTCACCCTCGGGTGACAGCACTACCTCCAAGCCTGACTAGCCAGCGGGAGGGTGCTGGCTGCCTCTCTTGCCTCCTGAGGTGGGCCTGGTGGCCGGGGCAGGGGGTGGGGAACAGGCTCCACGCCATTGGAGATAACAATGAAGGTCTGGGCTAACCAATATCTTCACCATCAGACTGGGTGAGAGTATGTCCCCCTCATTAGACTGGGGGCTCCCTGAGGGCAAGGGCAGTCTTGCCTCTCACACTGGGTGTTCTTGGCTTTAAGGGTCATGTTTCCAAGTCAGATAGTCATCTTACACCCTCTGCCCCACCTTGTTGATTGGGTGGGGTTAGGGGGTGCTGTTGGGCCCATATGGACTTGGTGGGACCAGGGACAGAGGCACCTCTCTGAGCCCTGCAGTGGACACAGCCCTGTGTTGGGGACCAGAGGCCTGGGGGCCAGACTCCACTCTGCCCCAGCCCACTGTGGGATGATAGGCCCCTCTAGTAACACAGGCAGAGTCAGCTCCATGGGCACACACACTTGTTTTCATGTCCTGCTGCTGCCATCTTGAATCCTGAATCATTTTTGAACAAGGGGCTTTCCCTTTCTATTTTCACAAAGCCCAGAAAACCATGAAGCCAGCCCTGAGCCAGCGGGGGGGCGGGGGGGGGGGAGCACAATCCTTGATGTTCTATTTTCTATTTTGCTTTTCAGCCTAGGAGCCTTTCTGCAAACAAAATACAAGATGCGGTGTAAATAGATCAAACATAAGCAAAGCTGCTCCCATCTGCTGGGCCCCACCCTCCCAGCCTGAGCCTCAGGGGCTCTTCTAGCCCTGCAGGCTGGGGGTGGCCCACCCTGTGTAAGCAGAGTTGGGGCTGCATGCTCCCCCCCACCACCCCAGTCCCTTTCCATGCCCTAGGGTCTGGAATTCCCACCCCACAGCAGATCAGGCGGCACCACCTGGAGGTGGTATCATGCTGATTTCATCAAAGAAGCAGTGGTCTTCTAGAACCTCTAGAAGCCAGCAGGCATCCCCACAGGGCTGGGGCCCAGGCACGGATTCAGCTCTTGAAGGCAGGGGAGGTGAGAGGCAACCTCCGGGATGTGATCTCATCTTTGTCCCACCTGCCCATCTCCCTGATCTGGTTGGGTCCTTGCTACACTCTGTCCTTTGCAAGAAGTCCTGCCTTCGTCTCTCAAGTGACTGCTTCCCAGAGTGAAGGTTGGGTTTGATGGGTGTGGACAGAGGTTACCCTGGGTGGGGCAGAGGACACAGAAAGGAGCTGCTGTGGAGATCGATGATGAGTTCCTGGTGCTGTGCTAGGCCTGGTGGGTGTAGGGGATAGGGCCCTTTTGGTGACACTAAGGAGTTCTGCCTGCTCCGTGCTTCTGCCCAGGCCGACCCTAGTGGCTACCGAGATCCCCAGAGTCTGTACAAACCAGATCAATGAACTTCCTTACAACCCGGGCAGCCCCTGGGGCCAGGTCCTGGCTAAGTCTGCTGAGCAGTAACCCCACGCAGTAGAGAAAGCACAGTCCCGACGGCCCAGAGTAATGCCACACGGCTGCAGCGATAACCCCTGAAAATCCAGGCTAATGCTGGGAAATCCATCCGCTTGCTCATCAGAGCAGCACAGGCAGCTTTACTCTGCGCCGGCACCTGCACGCGTGTGTGCATAGGCACCACACACATGCCCACAAGCACACACACCCATATACACACTCATCTCTGCATTCGCATAGACACACCTGAACTCACAGCTGTACACTCACGCCTGACTCAGACTCCTACCTGGGCACGCGTGTGTGTATGCATAAATACACATACACACACTCCTTCATGCACTTGGGTACACTCACCTGCATACACACAGATGCAGTCACACATATCTGCGCACATATCTAAATACACACATATAACTGTACACACACACACCTGCACATACATTGATCTATACACCCACACACATACCGGCAGCCAGGGTCCTCTGAGCATACACACCTGCCCATCCTCAATTTGCACGCACACCCACCCGCACACAGATACGCACACCACCCACTGACCCCTGAACACACACAGAAAAGCACACACACCTCTCTGTCTCCGTACCACAGCTCTAGAAAACAGCCCCTCGTCCCACTCTATACACACTTGCGCGCACACATATGCACACACATGCACACACAGGCAGCAGCCAGGCCTACAGCTTCCACTGGGGCACCTTGCAACACTGAGAGCACAGCACAGACATGGCCCCAGGGCTGCCTATGCCTCTAGGAGGTCTGGGGTCTGAACCCGCAGGGACTTCAGAGCTCATCTCCCCTTCCCCTCTCCGTTCAGAGAGGAGGGACGTGTCCCATGTCCCACCCATCAGGGGCAGAGCAGGGCCATAGGCCAAAGTTGGTGTGAGGCCAGCCTGCTGTGTGACCCTAGGCAAGTCCCTGCCCCTCTCTGGGCCTCAGAAGAGATCTTTCCAAGGCTCCTTTTCATAATCAATACTGAGGGGAGCCTCCTAAAAAGGGAGAAAAGAGAGGCAGGCGGGGTGGCCTGGAGAGATATGGGAGCTGAAAGAGGGGACTGGGCATCAGCAGCTGGAGGCTCCCTGGGAGGGCGGGGACCCCACAGGGAAGCACCGAGCTGGCAGGCAGCCAGAGGAAACCACGGGAAGTCAGAGTAAGGGGCTCAACCTCGGTGTTATCTGCCTTCCAGCCCTGATTCTTTACTCGCCCCCTCCCCCCCCCCCCCCCCCCCCCCCCCCCCCCCCCCCCCCCCCCCCCCCCCCCCCCCCCCACTCCAGGAGCCAGGGGGAGGAACCTCCTGGTATTGCTGAAGGTAATTTCTCAAGCCACCAGCTTCCTGAAGTGAGGTGTGGCTTCCCCTGCTGGCTCTGCAGGCCCCTTGGGCACTGCCGGGCAAGGGGCTTCTGTCTGCACCTGCACCCCGCAGGCCAGTGCGGGGCTGGAGACCCGGCTGGACCCAGTGGCTGCTCTGACTCAGGTGTGCAGGGTGCCCTGGAGCCAAACCTGGTCTTTGACCTCAGGACACTGGGGTCTGCTTCTCAGAACCCCTCAGCCCACAGGCCACCATGGGAAGACAGGCCACAGGCCTCCCTGGGCCAGGCCACGCAGTTCAGAATGGAGGGCAAAGCTCTTGCCCTTAAGGGGCTGTTGAAGAAGAGGTGGCACCTACAAAGGAAGCCCCAGGGCAGGGAGGTGGCCCAGGGCTGCAGGGGGCAGCGTGGACTGGGCTTGGGGCTGGGAGGCTCCTGAGTTAGGCGAAGCAGGGTCAAGTTCAGCCATGCCACTGACTGGCCGTGTGATCTCAGACAAGTCACTTCACTTCTCTGTGCCTCTGCGTCCTCATCTATAAACTGGGATGGTGCTATCTACCCTAGCCTGCCATGTAGAGCCTGCCGGCCATTAGGCAGAGCGTCTGGCCATGACAAGCACCCCATCCACCGTGGCTTTGACAGCAGCCTCACTGACCGTGGCTTTGACAGCAGCCTCACTGAAAGCCAAGCATCCCTAGCCGTTCACACCCGGGCAGGCTCGCAGCTTCACATTCTGTCCATGGGCCGACTCCCCCGACTACATCTCCAGCCCGGCCCTCAGCCCCGAACCCCAGACTTGTAGTATATTCAACTGTTGGCTCAACAGCGCCACTTGGACCTCCAACGGGCATATCAAACATAGCACACCCAAAGGACTGCCCGGTCTCTGCCCCCACGCAGGCTCCCTGTGGTCTTCCCCAGCTTAGGGCCTGGACTTCCCTTCCTTCCGACGATCCTCACACCAAAACCTGCAGAGTCATCCTTGATTCTCCTCTGCACTTCTTGACCCACTTGCAATCCATCCAAAGTCCAGCCGGCCCCCTGCAGGAGCCCCTGCTTCGCGGCACCCCCACTGCCAGCAGCGCCCTGTGGAGATCGCTGCAGTAACCTCCACGCTGGCTGTCCTGCTTGCCTTCCTCGGGGCTCCGCCCAGCAGCAGGAGGGGTCCTTCTAAATCTGCGTTACATTCCTCACTGCTCAGAACTCCACCGTGGCTCCCTGCTGGCTGACGGTAGAACCAGTGTCCTTCACACAGCCTCTGGGTCCTCCGCCATCTGTGCCGTCATCTTTCTGACCCTGTCCCCATCACCCTCCTCTGGATTCCTCAGCCCCAGCCCCCCACAGTGGGTAAACTGCCTTCACACCCATCATGCCATGTGACTGTTAAAACACCTTACACACTGCAAGAGAAGGGTCATGGCCCCTATCTACTGGTGAAGAAACTGAGGCAGAGAGGCCAGTCAGCTTGCCCAGAATCACAGACATGGAGCTCCGACCAGGAGCTGGGGTCCTTAGTCTCTACAATCCCCTGTCTCTGGGGGGATTGTCACTGGCTTCAGTGACTCCCAATCCTTTAAGATAAACCCCCACAGAAGCCAGGTAGTGCTGGGGCCAGGTTGTGGGCAGAGTCCACAGGGTCCTGGGGTGAGTCCAGGCCCACAGGACGGCCTGACAGAGCCAGCAGAACACAGCCTCTCTGCAGCTCTGGCTGGTGGAGGGGAGGACCCTCAGCTGAGGGTCCCGGGCGTCAGAGGCTGGGGGACAAGGAGAGGAGTGAGTTCCTGATCCCTCCCTGACCTAGGAACCCGTGGGGATCCTGTGAGGGCAGAGAGAGGGGCGGGCAGAGGATGAGGAAGAGGGGTGTGGAAGTCAGGGAAGATGGGGCTGGGCAGGGAGAGAGCTGAGGGACAGCCTGGAAAAGCATGAAGGCTGACAGAGGGTCAGCGACCCGGGCTGACAGAGAGAAGAGAGGGCGGTGAAGGGAGGGAGAGAGGTGGAAGGGGGAGAGGAGGGAGGGAAAGAGAAGAGGAAGACAGAAGGGAAGAGGGAAGGGAGGAGGAGGGTGGGAGGTAAGAGGGGAGGGGAGGGGAGGGGAGGCAGGAAAAGAGAAAGGGTGGAGGAGAGGAGAGATAACCTAGAATCTGGGGAACAGACTGGAGAGAGAGAAGGCAGTGGGGCGTGGAAGAAACCGCCTCCCGAGCAGGGTGAGAGGCTGGGGAGCCCCCCGAGACTGCCCCGGGCTCACGGCCCTCACCTCCCCCCACACCCGCCCTCCCAGGCGCCGCCACTCACCTTGTCTGCCGACTGCGAGGTGCCAAAGAAGATGGGGATGAAAGCGAGCCAGACGATGCAGGTGGTGTACATGGTGAAGCCGATGGGCTTGGCCTCGTTGAAGGTCTCGGGAACGCCGCGCGTCTTGATGGCGTACACGGTGCATGTGACCATGAGCAGCATGCTGTAGCCCAGCAGGCAGATGAGCGACAGGTCAGAGATGTCGCACTTGAGCACGCCCCGGGCGAAGCGGGGGTCGAGCGTCCGCTGGTCCTGGAAGTCCACCACCGAGTGGGAGGGGTCCACCACAAACCACACGCAGATGCCCAGCAGCTGCAGGGAGATGAGGCTGAAGGTGATGGCGAGCTGCGAGGCGGGGCTGATGAAGCGCGGGGCGCTGACGGAGCGCTTGCCCTGCTCGAAGATGCGGTAGATGCGGTTGGTCTTGGTGAGCAGCGCCGCGTAGCTGATGCTCATGCCCAGCCCCAGGAAGATGCGGCGCAGAGAGCAGGTGCCCAGGTCAGGCTCGGCAATCATGAGGAAGGTGGTGGCGTAGCACAGGAAGATGCCGGCCAGAAGCACGTAGCTCAGCTCGCGGCCCGAGGCCTTGACGATGGGCGTGTCGTTGTAGCGCACGAAGGTGACCACCACAAAGAGCGTGGCAGCGATGCCCACCACGGCCAGGAAGAGGGGCAGCACGGCCCAGGGCGAGTCCCACTCGAGCTTGATGATGGGGATGGGCCGGCAGCCTGTGCGGTTCTCTGTGGGCCGCATATCATACGGGCAGGTCTTACAGGTGTAGCGGTCCACCTGATACTGGTAGCCTGTGCAGGGCTCACAGTGCCAGCAGCAGGGTATGCCCTTCACGGTCTTCTTCCGCTCGCCTGGCTGGCAGGGCAGGCTGCAGATGGAGCGGGGCAGCTGCTGCCCGCTCCCCGGCCAGTGCATCCGCTCTATCTGGCAATGACAGCACAGGGGAGCCGACCTCAGGATATGCCGCCCGGGGCCCTGGGCCACCCCACTGGCAGGCACCTGGGGCCCCACACCTCAATCACCCACTTAAGCGGTTAAAATGTGGCTGCCCAGCCCCCCCACCCAGGACAGCTGGGTTTAAATAAACCCACCTGCTTGATTCAGACACAGCTAACCTATGGGAATCCTGAACTCCCAAGGGCCGTAAGAAGAGCCCCAGAGAGCAGCAGGGACAACCGAGAGTCACCCAGGGAAGCACAGGGAACTCAGGAGTTCTGACCCCCCAGCCCCTTAAGGCCTTGCTTGCGGGTCCCCACACCAGCAGCATCAATATCACCCAGGAGCTTGCTGGAAATGCAACATGTTGGCCCACTCCAGACCTACTGTCTCAGAATCTGAGCTTTAACCAGACTCTGCAGGTGACTTATGTGCATGGCTCGGCCCATGGGGCCTCCTCCTGGCAGCACACGAAGCTTAGTTCAGCAGACAGCTATGAACAGATGTTTTTGCAGATGATACATAATATGTGACCAGGGTTAGTGTTTCTTTACATCTTGCTCTAAATTAGTGCAAGTCACCGTTATAGGGCTCTGAAGACACAACTGCTATGAGCAAAGGGGCCACAGACATGTTGGCACACACACCCTACTGAATTCAGTGTTACAAAAGTTTGGAAAGTAGGGGAGAGGCCCAGAAGAGCTCTAGGCCCTGAGCAAAGGGAGTCTGGCTGCACTTGGGAGCTACATTCAAAACATCTGTTCCAGGGGTACCTGGGAGGCTAAGACAGCTGAGCATCCAACTCTTGATTTCAGCTCAGGTCATGATCAAGGGGTTCCAAGTGTTGTGGGATCATGCCCTGCATCAGGCTCCATGCTGAGTGTGGAGCCCGCTTAAGATTCTCTCTCTCTCTTTTCTGGAAAACTCTGGATCCAGTGGAAAGAGCAACAAACGTGGGTAAATCCTGGGATCACATGTGTTGCTAGCTGGCCGTGAGCCCAGCAGCAAACACCTCAACCTCTCTGAGCCTTTGTCTTTCCACCTGATCCAATGATAGCAAATATGAGGCCACTTGGCCCTCTGTGCCTTATTGTGGCTTCCATCTGGGGGTCATGATGAAATTCTTAAATCTCCCCAGAGCATTAGCCCCATGGGCTTTGTGTCTGTTCCCTGCTGCACAGCCAGCCCCCAGCACAGCGCCAGCACACAAGTGGGGCCCAGGGAATCTCTGTGGGCTCCATCACAGAAGTAGTGAGGCCCGAGCACTGGCCACAAGAGGCCGCCTCACTATCAGGCCCTGCGGGAAGACGGTGGCAGGCAGGGGGAAGTCTCTTCCTCTTCCTCCTTTATCCACAGCACAGACCAAACTGAGCACTCAGGAGAAAGTGGGGGGGGAGGGAGGGTGAGATAGTTGAAGTCCACTTCCCCCTAACTTCCCCCCATCCCCCACCCCAACTCCATGCTGGTGGAAGGGCCCTGTATCATCAGTCCCCCCACACCGAGGCCCTGCCTTCACTTACCACATCTGTGGAATGGGATAAAAATAGTCCCTGCTTACCGGGCTGCAATCCGCAGTCAGGTCACCTGCTTACAATGGTAGCTGTACACAGCAGGGGCTCAGCAAGGATTAGCTGCCGGCCGTTGCTACTGAACTGAATCACTGGCCCCCACTCCTCCTCCCACCGTACCCAGATGAGACATGCCTCCATTTGGGGTATTGTCCCACTTTGCTAAGGCCCCCACCTACCTTGTTCTGTCTGTCTGTCTCTATTCACAACCCAAGGAGCATCACTATAGTAATGTGCTCTGCCCGTCCCCCCTCCCGGCTGCGTGGCCTTCGGAACATCCCTCAGGCTGGGTTTCCCCGAGATATTTCCTCTGGCTTAGAAGATTGTCAGAGCTAAATGGGATCATGGGCAGAAAGTGCTTTGAGGAGCTCAAGGGGCTCATCGCTGGAAGATTCTTACAAGAGGGGACAGCAGGGGCACGATGCAACTCGCCCAGGGTCTGGAACAAGGATAGCTGAGGCCAGACATGGGCTTCCTGCATCTCTCTGGTCTATCTGGCTGTCACACGGTATCCACCCTGAGCATGGCTCACCCCTTTACCCTGCAAGGTAGGGGCCAAGTCCACAGGCATTTCCTTGGGAGATGAACCACAGGCCCTCTCTCTCTAAAAGCACAGCTCTATTCGCAGCTAGGCCTCTGCAGGCCAGAGAGGGGGAGCCACCAAATCCCTGGGACAATCATGAGCTGGGAAAACATATCTAGGAGGATCCATCTATCCAGGAGACGCCCACCCCCTCGCCGCCCGTAACACCCAGAAACGTGATGGCCTCCTAGTGCAGTATGACAGCTCTAGGAAACGCTCTCAAACAGCCTCCTACCCACCACCAGAAACCCCATCTGCCTGCGCCCTCTGCCTTACACCACTGTCCTCCTTTGTCCCTAAGCAGCCCTCCCCCTCTTCATCTCCCTTCCCCACTCCGGCCCAGCCCTTGAGCCATTTCACTCCAGGGTGAAGATGGCTATCCCGTCTCTCTCTGCCAGTAGGTGGCAGGCAGGCAGGCCCTAGGCCACGGGAAAGGCTGGGGGTCCAGCCACCTGAAGTCCAGCTGTCCTGTTCCTCCACTTCAGGCCAGGGTGGCACTCCGTGCCCTCTGAGGCCTGGAAAGGAGCATGGAAGGAGGCCCGAACTTGGCAGCAGCAAACGCCGGAGTCAGGGCTGGCCGGGGCTTCTCGGTGGCTGCCTCCCCCTGCTCTCCTCCTGGGGCCCCGCCCTGCCCTTGCCAGGTGCTTACTCTGAGGTGCAGGTGGTCGGTCCAGGAGCCGATGACCTTGTACTCAGCGGAGCCATTGCGCAGTTGGTACTGGTAGATGTCGTAGCGCCCAGGGGCATCTCCATTCTCATTGAAGGTCACGGGGTTCCCTGCGATGCCTGGAGGGGCCGGGGAGTGTTACACACTCAGTGGCTTGGCTGAGCTCTTACTGAGAAGCAGGGAGGATCCCGAGCCCAAGGCAGAGACTCCTCTGGGGAGACCCCTGCGTGGCACATCTTGAGAGGTGACAGCCCCTGGAAACATTTGAGGAGTCCTCCCCCCAACTCCTACCCCACAGAACGCCAGGGACCCCTTCCCCCGCTGCATGGCCCAGGACACTGACCTGAGAAGTTGACATTGCGGATGTACTTGAGCAGCTGGGTGCCGTCTACGGGGTCCATGCGTGGGCAGAGCCCCACGCGGCCCGGACATAGGTCACGGTGCATGGCGTGCAGCGCGTGGCCCATGGCGTACACAGCATCAATCACAAACTGCACCTTCCCCTCCTGCTCATACGCGGAGTCCTGCCCGATGCGCTCTCGGTCTGCAGTGAGACAGCCAGAGAGTGGGCATCCATGAGGCCCCCCATCCTCACAGACCAGAGCGGCCCCCCAGGGCCAAGAGAGGTGACGCAGCTCACCCCTGCCCGCCTACCTAGGCCTCCTGGCTCCTCGTCCAGCACCTGCTCTATCACCCAGGAGATGGTCTTATGGAAGCATCTGGTGAACGATCCCAAAAGGAGGGGGAAGGGGCCGCTGCCCTCGTCACTGATGCCCTCCCTGTGGCCATCCCCCAGCCTGGCCTATCCTAATCACGGGAGCATTGGCCCTCACACCAGCTGGGAGTTGCTGGAACGAGAGCGGTGTCAGGAAGGACAGCTCACCCGTGGGCAGCTGCTCCAGCCGGGGGACGCTGCCCCCGCCACACAGGGTACAGATGGGGAAACTAAGGCACAGAAAGGGTGAGAGCCTGGCTGCAGATCCCTCAGAGTTCAGGACTCAGGCCACCTGGTGCCCTTCCCAATGGCCTCCAATGGCCCCAGACACCAGAAGTCACCATCATCCCCTACCCAATCCTGCCCCATTAGCCAGGTTGAGTGAGCTTTGCCAAGTGGGAAACCACTCCCACCCCTACCCCTACCTTGCGGCAAACTGCAGTGGCTCCCTGGGCACCATGGCCTTGGGGCCCCGGGCCCCGTGCAAACTCCTTAGCTGCCTGAGGCTTTAGTGTCCTTTTAGTAAAAAGGGGGTCATAATCCTGCCCCACAGAGGCTTAAGTGAGATGAGGCACAGAAAACACTTGGCACCGAGTGGGTGGCTAATCCACATTATCATTGGGCTAAATTGTCAGAAAGTGGGTTTCTGCGGTGAGCAACAGAGGACCTTGGGCCAGAGCAGGCCAGGAAGGCTTTTTGGAGGAGGAGGCGCTTCCTAGCCTGGGCCCAGGGTAACAATCAAACAATCCTAATGAAGAATAAGGGCTGCTAACTTCTAGTGATCACCTGCTCCGTGCGGGACATCGTTCTAAGCTCTCTATGCATAAAAACTCACTGAAATCTCACAAGGGGGTTATGCAGTGTGTAATTATCCCCACATTTCCCCACAGGAAAGCCCAGCAATGTCCCAGAACCACGAAGTGCTGAACCCGAACCCAGCTACTCCAGCCCGAAGCCTGCACGCCACTCTATGCCTGCTGGATGGTAGAGCAGCATTGCAGGACAGGAAAGCAGGGAAGGGGAAGGAGGGGGCTAGAGGATGCAGAGAGAGGCAGGGAGAGGGCAGGCAGAATGCTAGAGAAGCCTGGCTCCCCTCTTGAGGCCACAGCCCCTGCCCACATCACGGCCTGCAACCTCCTCCCTGGAGACCAGGGCAGAGAGAAATTAACCCTCACAAGCCCCCCCACCCCGCCCCTCCACGTACACCCCGCCTCCCTGCTTAGATGGCCAGTGCCACCTTGTAGAGGTGATTCCCCAGTGGCAGAAGTGGCCGCACCCCAGCCTAGCCCCGTGGGCCACAGCTTGGGCCTCCCATGTCTGTTGTGTGGGGGCCCAGGTAGGGCTGGGGCAGTGCCAGGCCCTGCTCCTCTGGGGACCCTGGGGATCACCACGTCCATCCCTCTGCCTTGGATACCTCAGAGGCAGACACAGGGCACCAAGAAACACACTGCTGTCCCCGTGGGCTCTCCACCATCTAATCCCCTCACACCCGGAAGGACAGTCGCTGCCCCACCAGGCTGTGCCTCTGTCACCCCTCAACTGGCCAGGCCAGGTGGCCGGGACCCCACCCCATCCTCAGCCTAGCTCAGGGCTGATACTCCCCACTTGCTGAGTGATCGACAGAAGTCATGGGATCACAATGCTAGGAATGGCAGCCCCAAAGGGGTCGTCTGCTCTAAGTCTGCCATTTTACAGATAAGAAAACTAAGGCCTTGAGAGGAAAGGCCCAGGCCTCTTGATGACAAGATGAGTGTCCCCAGCTCCAGCCCCTCCCCTCCCCTCCCTCCATCCTAGATCCCATTTGACCTGAGGCCTCAAGAGTCCCGAGCTAACCCCTTGGGTGCCTGTGTTTTTAGCCAGTAGATGGTCACTGTGCCCTACCTGCCCAGGGCTCCCAGAGAGCTGGTGGCACATTTCATATCACTGTCTCGGCCCCCAAGACCCTGTGCCCAAGGGCAGAACCTGGCTCCAGTTACCCCGGCCTCGGGGTCTGAGATCAAGAGTCACCAGTACTCAGACTGGACAGTGTGAGGGTAGGTGCCCAGTTGGCTCTGGGGACACTGCTCAGTCCTGACGGGCCCACAGTGTGGCCTCGGGGCTGGAGGCAGGGTGGACTTGGACGCGCCTCCCTGTCTCTCTCCTGGTCAGCGAAGGCCCTCCCTACCCGCCGTCCCTGCCCTGCATCTGCAGGAGACTGGATTTGAAGTCCAACTGTCTGGGCTAGGACCCCAGCTCCACCAACCACGCCAGCTGTGTGACCTTGGACCCACCACTTCATCTCTCAGATTACAGTTCCCTCATCTGCACAATGAGGAAGGTGATGGTACTTACCTCAGAGGGTCAGGACAGGGCCCCTAGGAGAATGAACGGGTTAACAGTCACAAGACCTAAGGCGAGGCCTGGTGTTTTGCCAAGTGCTACAGACAGAGGTTTGTAGACACCCGAGGACACAAAGAAGTGTGAGTCCATCCCTGCCTCGGAGCCCCTGGGCCCACAGAGCTTTGCTAATAGACAACAGTATTTCTAGGCCAAGGCACAAACAGACGGGAATAAACATGAAAGGCAAATTCTCCAGCTCCACCAGCCTGCCGTCTTGTCCCAGCACCTGATCACAAGGTTCTGAGAATAAGGGAGAGAAGCAGAGGGACAATCCAGTCCCCAAAGGGCAAGAGACGGAGGGGACAGGGACAGAGTTGACTGGAAAGCCCCCCACCCCGTGCCCTGGACCCCACCCAGCACCCGGTTCCTGCTCCCCTCAGCCTGAGGAATGGAAAACATAAAACGCCACTCAACACACCCGCACTCCTATCCACCCTCATTTCATATGAGAAATTTCATATGAGAGGCTGAATTATTAACCACGATGGAGGGGACGCTGTGGCCACTGCAGAGAACCGGCAGCTCTCTCCCAAAGCCAAGGACACGCTGGGCCGATGGGCCCCGGCTGCACCTCCCTCCTGAGCTTCCCTCAGCCTCTCCTCTCTCCTCCTCCTGGGGATCTCACAGGATCCCTCCTCAGTGGGTCCAACGGATGCATCCATTCCTGGGCCTCTTGGGTCCAGGGCCAAGTGCTCTTGCTGGGGTCACGAGCCACCTGCAGGGCCACCAGAGTGAGGAAGACCCTCACTCACCAGGAGAGTCCCCTCTGCCTGGGGAAGCTTCCACGAGAAGGGTCTGGGGTCCTGTGGGCAGTGGGCAACCCCTCAGGGCTGCCCCCTCCAGAATCTCCACCCCAGAGTCGTCAGAGTTCCAGTCATGAGCTTCCAGAGACTTCTCAACACACTTCCACCTCCTTGTCTCAAATCCGGCCCCAATTACAGATGACAAAACGGGTCCAGCGAGGTGACCTGTGCAGGACTCGCATGTATAAGGGTGCACCAGGCCTGGAGCGCTCCCTCTACAGGTAGACCGCTCTCGAACCCCAAGGGCCCTTCTCTTGAGCTCCTCAGGAAGCAACAATTGCAGAGCCTAAGTGGCTCATGGGGGTGGGGGTTGCGGAGAGTCATATACACACACAAGCGAAACAAAGACAAGATGCTCTGTCCTGAATGTCTGAAGCTGTGCCCATAACCAGCACGGCCCTCCTGATTCCCCAGCAAAGAACCATGGTCAGGGCTCGCCCAGAACCTTCGCATGCCTGGCACTTCCTCTTCCCTGAGGGAGGGAGGCGGAACCGGCCCCCCTCACAGAGGAGGTAACCAAGGCCTGCAAGTGGTCAAGCAATGTATCTAGAATCTTATGGGAACCCTGGCACGTGCCCATACACATCAGGGATTGGCCCGGCTGGTAAGTGGCAGAGCTGGGATTTGAACCTGGACCTCTCTAGCTCCATAGCAGTTTCCACCACCCTGAACTGTGCCTCCCCTTCTTCCTCCATCTAGCCCTTGGTCTGCCTCCTTCCTGCACCCCCACCCCCACCACTCTGGGGCCCAGGTGCTAAGGATCACTGTCTACAGGTGGTGGCTGCGGAGAGGAGGGGGGTCAGAAAATCCCCTCATGGGTGGGCGGGACCCCCTGGCCCAGGCAGTTCTGGAAAGAAGCATGACACATTACTGAGAGCTACTAGAGGAGATAAATCCCAGACACACGGTGGCAATGACAGCAGCAACAGTTTGAAGATGTCCTAATTGTGTCCCCGGGTACAGTGAGCCAGAGACGCGTTTGGCTCTGCCACGGGTGACAGCCAGCCGGGAAACCGTTGGGAGAGGATTTTCTCCGTCAAAACCCTGCAGCTATGGTTACTACGGTGACTGCAGCCTTTGTCTGCAGGTTGTAAATTGTAATTGAAATGAGTTTTCAAGGTTGAAATAATCAGAGTTCCTCCTTGTCTCCCCCATCACCTCCCCACAACTCACCCCGCCCAAGCGCAACCCTCCTGAGTCCCACGCACACACGCATTCTCAGAGCGGCCCCTCACATAAACGAAGACAAAGTCAATTACGTGTGTACACATCTACACATACAGAAGGGCTGTACATACCCTGCACGCGTTGATGCACAAGGTCTATGCACACACAGGTGTATATACACACACACGTAACACACACACCACGTGGCACTCATCCAAACAGACCCATCAACAGATTCGCCCACTGTGGGGCCGAGAAGCCCACCAGTGTTTTCTTTGGGAGGTAACACCTGGAAGCACCAGTAGTGGGTAGGAACCTGAAATGGGGAAGGGAGGCAGCTGATACCAGGTGGGCTCGACCCCGCTGGGGACCTCCAGGACACTGTCACAGACGCTCCTGCGTCACCCATCTGAGGAGACAAACACTCCAGCTCCTGCCAATCTTAGGCCAAGGCCTGCTCCCAGGGGCATTAATTAACTC